GGTAGTCCTTTGGTTTAGACTGAAATAGCAAGGCCAGAGAAGATGGACATTATGGTTGATTTTTTTTTAGCACATAACAAAATGGAGTTCCATTCTTCTTTTTATTATGTAAGGAAGGTGTTAGCTTAATTACGCGGCAGAGAAATTTCATAAGATGCAAATTTCAAGTTCAGCCAAAATTTGGTTCAGCGTAAATGCTCTAATCCAAAAAGAGAAGCTAATCTTCAGATTTTGAGTTAAAGACTGAAAGTTAAGGATTTTCTTGTAGATATCTTTCAAATGCGAAGGGAACTAGTCACTTTACTTCTAAGACCACAAGAACCTGTCGTTGATGAAAGTTATTCTTATCTGAGTTGCTAAAATGTGCTCATCTCTGGATTATAGGGCTTCTGCAAGAAGGCCTTTAGAATCTTGTCATGATTGATATATTAACTTTTGAATCCTAAGCCTCTTCAGGAAAAGCCGTTCTGGTGGAAATCTTTTGAAGTAATTGAACATTGTGAGACGAGGAAATCTTGGGTCTGGAATCATTCAAAAGTAGGAATAAGGATGACAGTTCTCACTGAACCTTATACGGACATAGGTTGGTCAATGTAATAATGAAAGTGGAGAGGTTCCATTAGATGGAAACAATGACAGATGGAATTGAAGCTCTTGTCGCCTCCCGCTAGTATACATTGTTTACTCATTTTGCAACCTTTTGGAGGTTTTCCAGCATGTCTGTGTCACCTCCCGTCAGTTGCACACAGGTAGCAGCTCTAAAGTCGCACTCAGAAGATGGCATTAAAGAGGCTACTCCAAAACTATGGAGGCATGTAGATTCAAGATCATTTTAGTCCATATTCAGTTCGGGGGACGATGCCTCATGGGCAGGTCCAGTTATGTCCAAACCAGGGAAGAGGTACAGCGGTAAGCTTATTCTGCTATTTGCATTGGAAGTCCCAAACAAAATTGAAGTGCGGGACACCATTAAGATGTATACCTTTCAGAATTTCCATCTGGTGGAGGCAGGGAGGTTCAAGAATGAGTCTCCAAAGGGAGGAAATTGCTTCTCTATTAGTAGTGGTTTCCCCTTAAATCAAGTATTTATTGGAATGCTTCAGCTTCTGTTTATCCTCTGGTTGAAAAGCTTTTGCCAGCAGCTTGGGGATATGTGTGCAGGCATAGATTGCATAGATGAAGAAACAATAACTTAGAAAAATGTTGAAGCCCCTACGCTCTTCAATAACAACCGTTCTTCAAGATACTTCTTGTTTAATTATTGAAAAAGAAAAAGCAACAGATCTGCTAGGCAATTGAATAGCAATTCTTTCACATATTTTTACTTGATGCTTTGCACCTATTCTTCTTCGATGCACTTATTGAAGTCATGTTTTCAATCGTTTTGTCTCGCTAACTTATCATATTGACAAATGGTGGCATTTTACACTTAATTAATTTCAACGACATATTTGATGCTTGCAACTATAATTCAGCTAACTCTTATCTTTTCATGCAGCATTAGAGGCCAGCAACTCGATACATTGTCCATTTACAGTGAGGGTACTGTGCGAGGAAGATGAACTTTTGAACTCAATTCCACCAAGAGGTAAACACTTATTTCTGTATCATCTTTCACTTCAAGAGCATAAATAATATCAGAAACAAAGCCAAAAGCTATATGACAAGCTATAATAATGTTCTCACCCATGTTTGCAAATGTCAGATATACTTTCCCGTTCTATTACAGCAAAAATAGTTTGTGGATTGTTTATGGTACTCGTTAAATGTATTTTTTTAGATCTGGAGCCTCCTCGTAGAAGACCTCAGACATCAGCTAGAACCGCCCAGAGGCTGATTGCTCAAAGTATGGGTATAAAGTTGCCTTCTACAGACTTTGGGTCCAGAGAATATAGGAGACAGGAGGAAGCCAGGAAGAACCGGATAGTTTCAAGACAAAACTTGAAGCATGATGCCTGGGGTGATGATGAGTGATGACAACCAAATTTTCATTTGTTCTTCAGTATGCAACTAATGTATTAACCAGCCTTACTTTTTGAGTTTGCATATCTTGAACATATGATTAAATGATTCTTGATTGGTTTAAAGGTACTGCACCCATGCTTGTATAGCTACAGAAATGAGCCAAACCAGATTTAATTATTTCAGTTTCTGGTGTATACCCATTTGTTTTATCGAAAAAGGGGTAAAAACATGTCCCATTAAATGTTTACACCAAGCTAATACTGACATGTCGTGTTTTAAACACAAAATTCTTTTACTTAATCACAATATCTTCTTGGCTCCGTGAAAGCACCGATATGTCTTTATAGTGTGAACGTCAATGATGCTTGGTCGGTGCCTGGTGGAGTTGTGCTCATAATGCACAAATTATTATTTGTTGCTTATTGTGGGGTCTGTGACCCCATTTTGTACCAAGTCAAGTCAAAACTCAACTAGGAGGTGGCACACAATATTTTATTAAAGTAAAAATGATGAGTTACAACATTTTTCACGTCTATAAAATTCCTTTTATACTCTTAAAATTCTATTTAACTTTCACAATTCCTAAGGAGACTCAAAATGATACCTTGTATTACCAAGTGTGAAACATTATAGTTGGCCCTTAATTTGGTCATTATATGGCTCCCTCACCTCAAAAATTTGATTCAATGTACGGACAAAGTTTTACTAATTCACATAACTTTGAGTGGAACTTGATCTCTACAATTTTTGTATCAATCAACCACAAATTGGTTCATTTAACTTGTTCAAAATTAACTCCTTCTAATGTCAAAGCTTGTTTACATTTTTAATTTATCATGTTTTGAATTGAATTGTTAAACTCTTAAACTTTTGAAACTATATAAAATATTGACTTCACCAAAAAAAATATATTATGTATTATGAGTATATGAAACACCTAGTGACGTTTCAAACAATATTAATAATATTAAAGTAATAAGTACAATGCAACACATAAGTTGGAGTACGTAGACTTATCAATATGTTTTCAGTTTTTAATTAACTTATTGATAACTGATGAAAGCAATACTAAATTTCAACCATATTTAATCTTCTTCTTTTTTTTTCCAATCATATTTTTTTATTCAGAAAAGAATAAAACAATTAATGTACTTAATTACGTGTACAAAAATAGTTGAGCACGTCATCTAATAAATAAGTGCATGACCAAAGAAAAAACAATTTAATAAATTACGATTTATTCAAGAGCAGCCATAGTACACCTATCATATTTTGCTACAAATTAATGAAGACAATTAAATGATTCCTTGACTAGGACTAGAGTACCATTTTAATTTTTATGGATGTGGAATACTTCTAGGTGATCCTTTCAATTATATACATTTCATAAATACTATTCCTCTACCCAAATTTATACGACACGGGTAAAATTTTCAGAAATAAAATTTCTAATTTTGATTATGAATTTGAAATAATTAAAAAAACTGTGAATATATATATACTTCAGAATAATAGACAATTCAAAATATTTAAGAACAAATTCGATAGGTTCTTAAAATTTGAACGTGACGCTAACTGAGATGGAGGGAATAGGTTTGAGTTATAGTACCAATAATGCCATCATTTTTACGTTATCAATGAAATTTTCATCTTTTTAATCGATTGTATAAAAAGTTATTATTTTATGTCATGTTTACAATAAAATAGTAGTAATATATTGCTGAAGGTCAACTCTATATATATATCTATCATGATGTTAATTTTTATTTTATACATTATCTTTGTGTCGAAGGTATAACTCATATAAAAAATATTCCAAAAGTCTCATTATCACTAGCTAAGGTAAACCTTTGGGTCTTAGAGTTTTGTCTAGATATTTGAATAGTTTATAATTAAATTAATTAAGTTGATCATGAATTTGATTAATTAATTATTATTGGAATTATGTTTAAAAAATAGGAGTATATTTCTAGTCCGATGAGCGCCGGAGTCCTTCCGCTATTACATTCTACGCTCTTCTTTGACTCGTTAGAAGGTGTATAACTAAGACAAATGAGAGAGTCAGATATACATGAATTTATTTGAATACAATATCTATAAATTACATCTAATTCGATCCTACATATTTGATACGTCCAAATACATACCTCAGAAATTCAAATACTAATATGACTCGTAATATTAAAAACTCACACGTAGAACAATAATTTACTCTTGTTATCCAAAAATTATCAAATAAATTTGGTGGCACTTATCGGTTGAATCGATTTGGGTGTACACTTAATATATATATATATATATATATACACATTATATATATATACACAATTAAGGGCTAAATGCATGCAACAAAAAAATTAGTCGTCTAAGAAAAATGAAAAATGGATTTTTCTTTTAGTGCATGCATGCACCATGTATTTGGATATTAACGTGAGGCACAGGTTAAGCTAAAAACCAATTTTGAATCTGACCTTCCAACTATGGTAAACCATTCTACAAAATATTCAAATTTATTGTTTTACCTATTACCATCACTAATATACGTTAGAATTTTTAATATATGAACTTTCATAAGTTATAAGCTAATTAGTCAATTTAAATAAACGATAAAATATTGGCTTAAGTAACTTTTTGGGATAATGCCCAAGTACCCCTCAACCTATGCCCGAAATCTCAGAGACACACTTATACTATACTAAGGTCCTATTATCCCTTGAACTTATTTTATTAATAATTTTTTACCCCTTTTTAGCTTACGTGACACTATCTTGTGGGCCCAACGACGATTGACTTTTTTTTTCGAACTAGTGCCACGTAGGCTAAAAAGGGATGGAAAATTATATATAAAATAAGTTCAGAGAGGTAATAGGACCTTAATATAGTATAAGTGTGTCTCTGAGATTTCGGGCATAGGTTGAGAGGGTACTTGGGTATTTTCCCTAACTTTTTTGAACCTCTATTCTTGAAGTAAAATGAATATCATAAACACAACATTTAGAACTCAATATTTTTAAAATCTATGTATGAACAAACAAATCTAAAATGATGATTAAATTCAAGAAATTTAAATTATAAATCCGACTCTAAAAAGAGGGAAATTCAATTTAAAAATCTACGTCCACTACTGGTTTCTACTCATGCGTTCTACTTGTCTTTTTAGCCCCACTGGGCCACTATGACTTGTCTGGAATATTGAAAAAAATATTACAAAGTCAAAACACAAAAATATTTTTATTTTATCAATTTTCACGTGTGTTGACCGACCCCTTATAATTCAATCTTTGACCAAAAAAACAAAAAAAATCAAATGAAAAAAAATAAAAAGTATATCAATAATTAAGAAAATGATTCTTTTCTTGTGCATCTCCCTTTGCTTTTTCCATTCAAACTTGATCTATAAATATTTAGCCACTTTCTTTTACCACCTTTGATTACATTCATTCAAAAAATAAAAAATAAAAAATCTCTGTCCTTTCCCCCCTCTTCTCATATTATATATTGTTAGATTCTTCTTCTTTATTTTTTTCTATCATATATAAAAAATATGGAAGAAGTAGAAATACCTAAATATTTTTTGTGTCCAATATCTCTCCAAATAATGAAAGATCCGGTTACAACAGTTACTGGAATTACATACGATAGGGAAAATATTGAAACATGGTTATTGATGGCAGAGGAAAAGACATCTACGTGTCCGGTGACAAAACAAATTTTGCCTAGAGACACCGCGTTGTTAACACCAAATCATATGTTAGGGAAATTTATACGATCGTGGACCATATGCAATGCTGAAAAAGGGATTGAGCAAATTCCATCGCCTAAATATCCTCTCAATAAATCACATGTCATCAGGCTAATTCGTCAGGTGAAAAATCGCGATCTTTATTTAGAAGCTTTAAGGAAAATGGTGACTATGATAAGTGAGAATGAGGAAAATAGAAAGTGTTTAGATGAAGGTGGTGTGATCAAGGCTATGGTTTTATTTATACTGAGGAGTTTTAAAGAAGGGGAATTAGTTATGGGAATTGAAGAAGCTTTAAGGATTTTTCATTTTGTTTGGAGACCAACACATGAAAACAAACAACTTGTTAAGGAAAATCATGATCTAATTGAAGCTATTTTATGGATTTTGAAGAGTCGCGAAGTGTGCTACGATAATAATCAAGTTGTAACATCAATCAAGACTCATGCAATGTTGGTACTGAAAAATGTGATCTCAGTTTCAAGTACAAATGTTTTATCGAGTCTAACACCTGAATTTTTCCAACAAATGTTGAATAGTTTGAGGAAAAACAATGTAAAATACATTTGTCAACAAGCCACAAAAGCAGCGTTACATGTGCTAATAGATACTTGTCCAGGGGGACGAAACAGGCTGAAAATGATCGAATTAGGGGCTGTTTTCGAGCTAATTGAGCTCGAATTAAGCAACAATGAGAAAAGGGTAAGTGAGTTAGTGTTTTCACTTTTGTCACATTTGTGTAGTTTAGCTGATGGAAGAGCAGAGTTACTAAAACATGCAGCTGGAATTGCAATTGTTTCTAAAAAGATACTTAGGATTTCACCAGCAACAGATGAAAGTGCAATTCAAATTATTGGATTGATTGCCAAGTTTTCAGCTACAAAAGAAGTGTTGATGGAAATGTTAAGAGTTGGGGGAGTGACAAAGTTATGTATGGTGATTCAAGCAAATTGTGAAGCAAGTTTAAGGAAAAAAGCACTGGAAATATTAAGGGCACATAATAATGTTTGGAGCAACTCTCCATGTGTACAAATTTATTTTTTGACAAGATATCCTGGTCAATAGATCTATTTTTGTTATGATAACTTGTAGAAATTGTAGCAACATTTATATGCTTTTTATTCTCTGCATAACAATATGCAAAATATACATTGAAACTTCATTTTAGTACAAGTTTTATTATATACTACTATATTCACAGTCAGTGCCAGCACGGGCCCAATATATGTTATTCTCTTTATTTCAATTTATGTGGTGCAGATAGAATTTTGAGCGTCAATCAAATATCATAGTAGATAATTATTTTCCTTTTTATCGATTGAATTTCAACTTTTCTAGGTTTCTTTTATAGGATGTATTTGATTAGGTCCTTGCACTTTGAGGTTGATTTAAAGAAACCGCAAGAAAATTATACATGTGAAAACTGAAATAGCTCATTTATTCCATTGGCTATATTCTTGGTTTATATAAAATCGGGATAACGATGGACGAAAAATATAACGAAAAGTATAAATGATATATAATCATAATAAATTTGTTGCTAATTGCCGCAAGGTTTGCTGATAGTTTCTAACTCATTTGGTCATGACGCTGAAAAAACTGATCTAAAACGAGTAAAGACTTTTTCTTTATTTTGTTAATTTTTCTTTGTGTGATTTGGCAACGCAATTTTTTTAACAACAATTTATACTGTATTCTAATCTTTTTTCTCCATTATCATTTCAGCATTATAATTATTTTCTTAATTTTTCGATATAGTACATACGGGTTAAAATAAAATTTTGCTCACTATGTTCTTTGTATAATATATATTCCTAATACCTAAATTAAAGATAGTAGCAATCATAGTTGAAGTATCAGCTAATTATCAACCAACGATTATAATTTCATTCATATTAATTAAATAAACAAATACATTAACTTTAACATAATGTACATAAATTGATAACGTATGTTACTAAAAAAAAACAAAGTTATGATGAGTACGTCTGCTACTTTAATAATGTATTTATCATATTCTATAGATGTGTTCAGTGAAATATTCAATTTTTTCATGTTCGATAAACATATTCCTTCTAAATGAGAAAAACTGTCTACTTTAGTTATTTCAAAAACTTTTTATTTTTCCATAAACAATAGATTGAACGAAAACTTATTCTGGAACAAATTCAATTTCTGTTTTACCAGAACTCCGATTACTAAGAATTTAAAGAAGCTGAAAAAGCTCATCTCATTAACTAATTAAAAGACTTTTTCTTGTTTTGGAGTTAAATATCCAAATAATTATCTAATAAACAAAACCACTAGCAATAACAAAACCCTACTTAATTATTTTGTTTACTACTGTAAACAAATCTCATTATAGAAACTTTTGCTACCCAAAACTTCCCAACAAAGGGGAAGAATAAAAAAAGTACATAGCATCATTAGGGAAAAACATGCACCATTTTTCAGTTCATAGTTCTTGCTCAAACACATTATTTTATCCTATTATCTTCTTTATTCTCTTCAATGCTGCATCTACCACAAATCAAATATCTAATTATATTGACCATATTGAAATAAGTAACAGTAGAAAGTTGTTGTCCTACAATGGTGATGTTCTTGCCATCAATCCATCATTTTCTATTGAGAATTTTAGGTTAAAGAATGCTTACATCGCGTTACAAGCTTGGAAAGAAGTAATTCTCTCTGATCCTCATAATATAACACAGAATTGGGTAGGATCTAATGTGTGTAGTTATACTGGAGTTTTTTGTTCACCTTCACTTGATCAGCCCTCTGAACTAACAGTTTCTGGTATCGATATCAACCATGGCGATATAGCTGGTAAACTTCCACATGAATTAGGTTTACTATTTGACATTGGATTGATTCATATTAACTCTAATAGGTTTTGTGGTACAATACCTGAGAGTTTCTTGAATTTGAAGCTTCTTTTTGAGTTAGATATAAGTAATAATCGATTCGTTGGGAAGTTTCCTGATGTGGTTGTTCAAATGCCTAACTTGAAGTTTCTTGATTTGAGGTTCAATGAATTTGAAGGTGCATTGCCAAAGCAACTTTTTGAAAGGGATTTAGATGCTCTGTTTATTAATAACAACAGATTCTCTTTTGAGTTGCCTGATAACTTTGGGAATTCGCCGGTTTCTGTTATGGTTTTGGCTAACAACAACTTTGTTGGATGTGTACCTGTTAGTATAGGCAAAATGGTTAGATTGAATGAGTTGCTTCTCTTAAATAACAATTTTCATTCATGTTTGCCAAATGAGATTGGGATGCTGAAGAATGTGACTGTGTTTGATATAAGTTATAATGAAATGATGGGCAGTTTACCTGATAGTATTGGAGAGATGGTGAGCTTGGAGCAGTTGAATTTGGGTCATAATATGTTTTCTGGAATGGTTTCTAGCAACATATGTACACTTCCGAATCTGGAAAATTTTGTCTACGAGCACAACTACTTTTCGGAAGAGAGTCCAGCTTGTTTAAACTTGAATTCATTTGCTGATCAACAGAATTGTCTTAGAGATAGGCCAATGCAGAGACCTGCATTAGATTGCCAAAGATTTTTGTCAAATGAAGTTGATTGTACCACTTTCAAATGTGCATTACCTTCATCGTCTCCACTACCTACCACCCCTCCAGAAAACAACTGTTGTATTTGTTTGCCTCCACCATCACCATCTCCATTGCCATCTATCGAGCTACCATCATCCCCACTACCACTACCTGCACCATCAGGATCACCTTCTCCACCAAGCATATCACCATCACCATCGCCTTCTTCACCTCAGCCACCAGACTTGCCATCACCGTCACCATCACCTTCATTTGTAGAGCCTCAATTACCTTCTCCTCTACCGTGTGAAAATCAGAGAACACCATCAAGTCAAGATATGTCATCTCCTTCACCTTGAAAGTCGTTATGTAAGGTTACTCTTCTTGGGATCATCTTTCTCACTCAATGGAACTTTAAATCATTCCTGGGAATACAGGACATCCGCAGAAGGAGCTGTGAATTGAGATGCAAGATGTAGGTTCTAAGGTGACAAATTCATTGCTCGAACTTCTCTACAGATTTATTGTTAGTACTTAATAAAATGTAGAACATGTTGCATGAATTGTCGGTATAAACTAGATAGTTGATCATGAAAAAAGGAGTTTCCTTTGTTCAAAACAGAGAAATCAAGGTCTCTGAGGTTACACAGTTCATTTATTTTTCAATGCTTTCACTTCAAATGTCATTCATTCCATACTAAGTACAACTACGAACTTTTAACAGATATTTTGATAAAACAACATAGACACCTGATCATACAAGGCTATTCGGATCTTGAGTACTTGTTTCAGATTGAAATGACTTGATTTGCAATTTTACAGTGCCGGCTATGGAACTGCAGGCTGTTGTTAAACTATGTGTTAAAGCATTTACCATGCGACAAAATGATGTAAAATCCATTGATTTTGAACTTCTTGATACAAAATTCCAATAGTAAGCTTAACAATCGAAGGTAATGCGCCTGATGAGAACTTTGAGTATAAAATTCTCCTCATCAATCAGCTTAAAACGCAAAACATCTCCTACATGCAAATCATTGTCCTGTAGATACTGACGCCACCCTTTACGCAATTTGAGTCTATCGGAACTACGAACAACAACTGGCCAACTTTTACCATCGGTCTGAAGAGTAGCCATTTTCTCAAATACTTGCCCCCTCTTCATATACTTTTTGCCAAACGTAGAGGGAAAATTCTGCATAAGGTACCAAGTAGTAGACAACTTTACATGATGATTCACAGTACAATCAAGTACTTCAAAGAATACTGTTTACCCAATATGATTCATTTAGCTGATGTTTGTGCAAAGACACGAAAACTAGATAATGAGTTAATATCTTTTGCAACTCATATACACATCAGAAGTATGAGTGATTTTTTTCAATTTTTGAAGGAAAAAATATATTTATCGCTGTCAAATATTATTAAGGAAAGGAACACATTAATATCTTTCAAAAAAATTCTCTGATATTACACTCCCCTAAAAATTTAAAATCCAATGCGATGCACTACAACACAGAATTGTAATTCCAAAGTTACTATTTCAACAACTAGCTCATGAGAATATCTTGGTGAACAGTTTTTGAAAAATGAAACAGAACAAAAGTTGCCAGACAGGAATTTTTCCATAATGTTTTGCCTTTTTGACACACTTGGCATAGATGCAAACTGCAATGAATAAACTTACCAGCAACATATTTGAAAAATTGGATTTCTTCATGACGATTTCAAATAGAGTGACTGAGACTAGAGAATTTTCTGATCCATCAAGTTCTTCATCAGCTAAGGGAGATACCACTTGTATCTCTGCACAGGTTTCTTTTTTCAGAGTTGCTATTTTTGGATTTAAACTTCAAAATAATGCATAAACTGATGTATCGCACCAAAGCTGAAGATCTTCAAAGGAACTTACCATTAGGGTTCTCTTCATCCAATGGATGCAATTCAAGCTCCGCAATAGCATTTAATTCCTGCTTTAAGTAGCCATTCGTTCCATATATTTTTACAGAAAAAGTAGAATTTCCAGCATAAAGAAAATTAAGATAATCTTCATTCTCCAAGTTATTATCCTGCACAAATTTTGTCCAACCACCCTTGAAATAGAAGTCCTCTTCAATCTTTTCAATAACAACCCTCCAAGATCTCCTCGCTGAACCTTCAACTTCAAGGAGAGAGATCACTGGAATGTCCCCGTTCAAATTTTTAAAAAAGCGCGACGGAATTTTCTAGGAAAAAAGAGAAAGAACTTGGTGAAAGAATATGCAACATAAACACTAACATATATGTTTAACCAAAAATAGAAAATGTGGCATAATACAAATTTAAAACACAAAGTTATAGCGCATATATGCTGGAGACCTAAGTTAAAATCACATGATTATATATTATGCCATTTTTTGTAGGAAAAAGAAGTAATTACCAGCTTGAGATAGCACGTTTCAGGGCTGTAAACCTTAATGAAGGCAGGAAAACCATTACCAACATAATTCCTCTCCATTTTATTTTTCAATATCTTCCAATGGCTTTAGACTTTTAAGACGATAGGCGCACACACAGAATTCAGAAAGAAACGCTACCCTCTGGCTGGGGTTTTTAGAGGGGAGATGTGTCGACTCGATTTTCCCTCTCTCCTTTGTCATATTTATGGCGTGAGCAGATGATTTCACGAAAATGGCAGGTGAGAAAGAACTAAAAATGGAAAAGCGAAAAGACTATACATGAAATAAGGTAGCAGACACAGTAGCGGGCAAGCCGCCGGCGGTGACAGATTATCTGTACAATTGTGATTCTCTGTCCGCAGAGATTCGAAAAGATTTGATACTCCTCAATGCCAATTTAAAGTGTCAGCTTTTGCATTTCCAAATTTAAAATAACTCATATATTAGAATTTTCAATTATTTATAAATTTATAAATCTGTTTTTTCAACTCTCAAAAATTGCATAGTTCTTCATATAAGTCTTCAGGTTATTTAGAAGACTTTTATTTAAATGTGTGATAAGTTTGAATTTAAGCTATTCATATCAATAACTTTTTCACCGTAGATCAGAGGTTGATTGATTTATTGATTACACGTTGATTATAACGGATAGTGAAAGGCATAATAAACAGAATCCCCAGCAATTCAACAGAATACAGGCAACAATTTATGCATCCAAATAGATCACAATATAAATATATGGTTATACATTGCTACAAGCACCACCACAACTGTACATCTGCTCTACACAGTTTGGTTCTTGTTCGTTTTTCGCATAACCAATCATTCTTCAATCTCCACTCCAAATAACATTATTACTTTAAACAACATTCCAGTATAGTATGAACTTCAGCTGCTCGCCAAAACGAGAAGATGCCTACGCTGTTTTACTTGCTGCGAGACTCCCAACAAACTAAGAAGCATGACCAGAAATATCAAGGTAGCAACAAATATAGTTATCACATATTGCCTCATCCATTTAACTGAAAACATGTTTCTCAACCATCTTACTGAACTAGTCGTGCCCACTCCTACTTTATTCTTCTTAATAGCTTTGTATGGTTTGGATTCCTTTACTCCACACTTCATTACAATTTCTCTTACTAGTCTGAGTCTTCGATTCGCAGTGCCCTGGAAAGGAACAACAGAGGACATCGCAGCTTGAGCTTCATGATTTGATATTTCAGAGGATTCAGGCCTATCCGGGATCATGGAAACAGGTCTGGGATTAAGTGAAGAATCATCTAGCTTAATGATATCATCCTTCATTATATCAGCAAACCAGTCATCTTCGACATCAAAATCCTGGAACCCATACAGCAGACCAAAAAACAGACCGAGTTATGCTATGCTTAGAATGGAAAAGGTCAAGGCCACATAGAAGTAGGCTAGACATTTTCACAAATGAGCAACAGAAAATGGCAGTAAAACCAAAACCTTGAAGTGGCCAGAGGAATCGTGATGAGAGAACTCTTTAGTCGGTTTATCAGATTCGGATCCAGAGTCAATCTGCTCAACTGAGTGGGAATGAAAACTGCTACTACCTTCCTTCGAACAGCATTCCCCGACATTGACCAATTCCAAGCTGCCCAATTGTCCTGCTCCAGACAGAGCAGTTGCACTTTCAATAGCAACCAGTTGATTCCTCTGATTTCTTGGAGTGTCATTCAAATGAAACTCGCTGTTCTTCCGGAGGCGGCAGACAACCATAGAATCCTGTATAACACAGCAGACCAAACAATCAAAGCACTTTCTGCAAGGGGATGATTAGATTGATCAAGAAATAAAACTTTGGTATAGAATTAAAAGAAGCAGCTCCAAGTGAACCTTCTATCTAGAATAATATCACCACTCAAACAACATCTTGCAATACGGTTGAACATTCCAGGTGAGATGTTTTTGTTGATTTCTTTTCTAAACAGTAAGCAAATGGATGTGACAACACGTTAACTCTTCAAGCTTCTTCCCTCATATGAGACATTATAGTATCTATGGCTATGTTATGGCCTACCACCAATAAAAATATTTGTTTCTTTGAGTTACTTTTCACTTGGCATAGCTGGTAAGACCATTGGAGCAGGCTGCAGAGCTATAATGAGTGACTGTTACATCAACCAAACTGTTCCTTCTTTTTATTCTCTCTTTCAACAAAAATTGAGCATACCATTTAACATCACATAACAAAAGAAACTACCAATGCTAAAATTAGGAATTTAGGATGATACGTATATAAGAATTCATAAGAACAACATATTTACACAAGGAACAAACAACTAACAGTAGGAGTTGAATTTGATGTCGCAGCAAACAAGATAGAGAGTTCATCACATGAGGAGGATCAGTCCCTATGGGTTGGATCCGAGCTCATACCTGGTAATTAGTGTTCCCAATCATGCAATATTCATGCATTATCCATTGTGTCCTCTGTCCTTTAGGTGCCCGACCAGTGTGGAACACCAGTGTTCTCTTTGTGCCAATGATATTCGAATTAGACTTCACATTACGTTCTTTTCCTGTGGCCTTCCAGTAACCAGATTCAGTTGCCCTTTTACTTTGTGATCCGTTCGGGTACTTCCTTCCACGAGGAGAAAAGAAGAACCATTCATTATCTGATTGAATGACGGATTTAGCTGTTACATGTGAAGAAGGATTGATCAATTAATTGAACAAGTATGTAGGTATGAGTTACTACTCACAGAGTAACTAATTAAAAAAGTCAAATGAATAAGGATAATGTGATGCTTCTCATCATTTCCAAGCACCTTATAAAAAAAATTTAAAAATGAATAAACTATTTAACTACCGTAAAATCCTATATTTTACAGTGTATGGTGATCACCATACTAATACGCTTAGCTTTTTGCATATCCTAACCATCGATACATCACGACATATACAGAATTTAAAATTTTCCATTAATTGTATTCAGTAGAAAAAGGATGTTGCAATAGTGAAACCATGCAGTTGAATGGTTCACACTGTATATACTATTTAAGAGATACAATGGGGAAGACTAGCAATATAGTCAAACAAGAAACCTATTTAGTTTAGATTTCTAACCCTTATAACATGACTTCATCTAGAAGCACTCTTATTGCTTTTTTTGTCAAAACAGGGAGATTCTTCACTTTGCAATTGATATCAATCAACCTAAGATTCGATAAAGTTGATACACAGGAAGAATCTTATTAACCGACTATCCAAGAGGAGGTTATTCCTTTCTTTTTCTTCTTTGTGTGGACATACTTTCCTATTTGTTTCATCAGGAATTCATTACCTTTTAGAAAGATTTAAAAAAAGGAATATTTGACCATCACTTTCTCTGTTTTAAGGTACAAAAAAAGGGGGGAAAAAGAATCTATTATGAATATACTGTGAAAACAATCACATTACAACAACGAAGGAAGTGACCCGATGAAAGAGAAACAAAACAAATGTAACATCAAAATTAGGAAAAAATACAATATTAGTGAAGTTACTTTAAATTTCAAACTTATTGAACAAAATCTCGAAAAACATATAACTACCAGATTAACAAGTTTATGATTCACTCATACCCTTTTACTTGATATCATATGCTTCAAATTGGGCTACTGCCATCACAACATATACTTATACACGTACATACGTACATACATACATACACACACCACCATTTGGTAGCATTGATACCAATATCCCTATCAATATTGTAAATAACTAAGCATTCAATTAACTGCACCATTTAACGTTTTGATAGAATGAGTGTCAACAGCTAATATTAGATCACATAAAAAAATCTAATTTTACGGAGGTACCATGGATTCACTAGGACAAATAATTTGAATGACGGTGTTCAAACCAACTTCCCTCTATGTCAACTTACCTAACTCACTGCGACCAGTGTTCTAAACTACTTGCACATGTATAACTTGACCTAACCCAACACAAGTGCGAGTGCGAGATAACTCTATTCATCAAAGCTCCTCCACCACCATCATAATAATATATACATACATATATAGCACATACAAATCATGTTAATATGAAGAGAAAAAAAAAGAAGAGGAAAAGTACCTGGTAAATCCCAAGGTTCATGTTTCCAAATTTCAACTTCAGAAATAACTTCAACACACTTATCAGAGCCCTCAAGTTTCTTCTTCAAGTAATATGATATTAATTCTTCATCAGTTGGAGAAAACCTGAAACCAGGAAACATTGAAGACGCAGTCGCTATTGAAATTTCCGTATTAGCATTATTTCTGGGTGTTGTCTCATTTCTTGAAGAAGACGATACATGCTCATTTTCCATATTTTAAACTCAATACAATTTACAAAAAGAAAAACTGAGGCGCCGCCTTTCTTCTTCTTTTTTTCCCCTCGTTTTGTGGTAATAATAAAAAAAAAGGGTGTTGGAATCTCTGAAGAAAAAGAAGAGAATCAATAAATAAGGAAGCAAACGGTGCCTTCCTTCAACGTTAATTTGTACTACATGCTCTGTTTTGAGAGGTCACGGGAAATTCACGTGCCAAGGGACACGTGTCGCTGTTAGGTTATAGGAAGTTGCAGTGTGGGTCCCATGTTACATGACCTTAAATACGAAATTAAAGTGAGAAGAGATCATTCTTATTAAAATAAAAGAAAAAATTATTCTTCTTTAAGCAGGAGAAGTATCATATATTTATATATATAAATTTGGATGTTTACAGTATTCCCAGAAAAAAATATGAGGTTAGATTTTGTCTTTTTTTTCTATCTTGGCTATATGTTCATGCCCTATACTTAGTACTTTAGTCAATTTGGCGTTTACGCAAATGCTATCTGTACTTTAAAAAGCTAAAGTTTGAAAAGTGAACGGTTGATAAAATGCAATTTTGAACTATTATTTCAAAATTTATCTTTAAGTTGAAATACATAACTTGTTTGCAAATACTTGTAAGAATACCAGCGTACGGAAACTAATGGAAATCGTTATTTGAATCCCTTCAAATAACCATTCATGGATGATGGACCCTTTTAACAAGAAAAAATATTTCAATTTAACATATGGTTAGCGTATGAAATGATTTTAAAATTATGAAATTTACATCTTAAAAAGACTTACTTGTAAATATGTATTTTTGATGATTTGATATTGTAATGAAAAGTTTAATAGGAAAAAACATATATTGATTTTCACAAATCCATCAACTATACCGTCAAACATCTTTGTAGATGATTTGATATTGTAATGAAAAGTTTAATAGGAAAAAGCATATATTGATTTTCACAAATCCATCAACTATACCGTCAAACATCTTTGTAGATGATTTGATATTGTAATGAAAAGTTTAATAGGAAAAAGCATATATTGATTTTCACAAATCCATCAACTATACCGTCAAACATCTTTGTAGTTCATCTGTTTGTAATTTTCTCCGTGCTCCGTGTCTCAATTTATATAACATAATTTAAGTTTTAAGTTTGAACAAGTTTATTTTAATTATAAATTTACATATATTTTAAATTATCAATTATTATGACTTATATATTTTTTACGTAGTTTATATATATATATCAATTTTATTTTAAAAAATTTAAAGATTTCATAAGTAAATCTCCGATCAAACTTAGATTACTTGACCATCAAAAACGAAATGTATCACATGAAAAAAATGTACAAATGGAGTTGTCACGCTCTCCCGGGGCGTAAATACATGGTGGTCACGGACACTTTTGTCCGAAAAAAATAACGTACATCAAATAAAATTATACATAAAGAAATAAAATAATATATTTTGAATAACTTTAAACCGATAGATAGTTATAGCCTTGTAATTTTAGATCTTCTTAAATGTGCTTCAAACCGAGTTAGTTGTGCAATTTCAATCCAGATAGGTTCTTATCAAAGTGATGATACAGAAGCGTTTGATATAATAGGGAATAAAGAGATTAAGATGATGCCTTTTGGTGCAGGAAGAAGAGTATGTCCAGGCTATCTCTTAGCTTTGCTCCATTTAGAGTACTTTGTGGCTAATTTGGTCTGACATTTTCAGTGGAAGCGGAAACAATGTTGATCTATCTGAGAAGCTAGAATTCATCGTTACGATGAAAAATCCATTGTGTGCTCACATTCGTCCCAGAGTAAACAAAACTTGAATGAGCTACCTACCTAATGTTGTTTGTTTTTCTTTCTCTTCAAGTTGTTGATGTTTAGATGTGTGTTGCATCTCTCTATTGCACAAACATGTCGATGTATGTTAAATTCTAAATTCGAGTACAAAAGTCCAACATCGGTAATTAATCAGATGGGTGGACTCTTTGAGCTAGCTTTTGGGGTGTGAGTTAGGCCCAAGACCTAAGTAAAACTCATCTTTGATTATGTTAGCATCTTAAATAAATGTATCTAACCATCAAATAGACCAATAATATGTGTAGTAATTTCAAATTGACAGGAAAAACAGCAAAAACAAATAGGGATATTTAGTAATCCAAAATTCTTGGCCAGTCGTCGGTGAAACTCTTAACTATAAAATTACACAATAAAGTAAAAGTGAAGAAAAAAGAAGAAATTATTGGACAAGATAATATTTTATTAAGCTGATGTGTTTGTTGTCGGAGGAAGATTATTTTTACTATATCTATGGACAAGATAATATATTACTACTTATTAAGATCGAAGAATAACATTATTGAAATCAAATCGATATACAAATATATTTATTATCTAAATGTTGATTAAAAATTTACTTTGATCAATCAAATTTTAACCATTAAATTCAATATATGTTATGTAAAACTTAGAGAAAATAGAGAGGAGCGGGAAGCGTACTATAAGATAGGATATAGATATAGACATAATACATATATTGGACCCTAAACTTGGCTCCAAATTTTAATTTTGAACTTCAACTTTCATAATGCACAACCATGCACTTTAACTATCCAACTTTTAAATAAATAAACACATGAGTCCTACATGGCATAATACACGTACAACAAAAAATGACATGTAGGACATGTGTGTGTTTGTTCAACTTTATACAAATTTAAGTGTCTATTTCTACACATTCAAAGTTAAAGGGCATAAATGTGATTCGAAACCAAGTTAAATTATGTATTACGTGAAAGATATACATATGATTTATCAGTTTTTTATTCTTCTTTTTCTGCAACGACAGTTCAAGTGTTCCTTTCCTAAACATAAAAAATTGTAAATGGAGCAATTATTGTCTCTCTTATGTTTTGTGCGTGAAACACAAGCAAAATCACTACTCTCCACAAGTAATATAATCTTTTTTTTCCACTAATATTGCACTTGTACCACAGTTTGGTGGAAAGATTAAGTAGTGCAGATCATACAGAGTTGGAAAATAATGGAGTTATGGCTCATCATCCTCATCCTCAGCCTCATAATCACTTTGTGTATTTCTTTCAAATCCAATAAACAGAAGAAATTTCCCCCAGGACCCTTTGCATTTTCTGTGATTACCGGCTTACTACGCGCTAATGCTGATATAGAACTCATTCTCAGGGACCTCAAGACTAAATATGGTCCTATTTTCAACTTAAGAATTGGAATTGGATTTCGTCGTCCTTCAATATTTGTAGCTAGCCACTCATTAGCATATCAAGCTTTAGTCCAACAAGGTGCTGTTTTCTCTGACCGCCCAAAGGCCGCTCAGACCAGTGTAAGCCTTCAAAGTTGCCGATTTAACATCTCTTCCGCTCCCTATGGCCCCTCATGGCGCCTCCTCCGGCGAAACATGGTATCTGAAATCCTACACCCTTCGCGCATCAAGTCCTACTCTAAGGTCCGATCACGGGTACTCACTATCCTTATTCAACAGCTTCGTTCTGATTCTGCAGCAACGGAAGGGATCAGGTTGATTGATCATTTTCATTATGCTACGTTCTATCTACTTGTCTTGATGTGCTTCGGTGAAAACATTGACGAGGCTCAAGTCAAACGGATCAACGATGTACAACGAAGATGGATTCAAAGTGCGGGTCGATTCATCAATCTCAGCTTCTTCCCAAGATCACTTCAGAAGATCATACACAGGAAGAAATGGAAGGAGCTCCTCCAACTAATACAAGAGCAAGAGTGTGTCTTTGTGCCACTGATCGAGGCTCGAATGAAAGCAAAAACTGAGGAAGATGTGGTGGCTTATGCAGATACATTGCTGAATTTGGAATTCCCTGAGAAGAAGAGGAAGTTTAATCAGGGAGAGATTGTTAGCCTCTGCAGTGAGTTCCTCACCGCTGGAACGGATACTACCGCCACCTCGTTGCAATGGATTATGGCTAACTTGGTTAAATACCCTTCTATTCAGGAAAAACTATACCAAGAGATATCTGAGATAGTGAGCAGAGAGAATTCGAAACCGGATGGATTGAAAGAGGAAGATCTAGAGAAAATGCCTTACCTAAAAGCAGTGATCTTGGAAGGTCTAAGGCGGCATCCACCAGGTCACTTCCTGCAGCCACACACGGTGACAGAGGAAGTGGAACTCAATGGTTATGTCATCCCTAAGGATGTAGCTGTCAATTTCATGGTTGCAGATATGGGTTTGGATCCACAAGTATGGGAGAATCCCTTGGATTTCAATCCAGATAGGTTCTTATCAGCGGGCGGTCACGATAAGGAAGTGTTTGATATAACAGGCGTTAGAGAGATCAAGATGATGCCTTTTGGTGCAGGGAGAAGAGTATGTCCAGGCTATGGCTTGGCTATGCTCCATTTAGAGCACATTGTGGCTAATTTGATCTGGCATTTTGAGTGGAAGGCTGTGGATGGAAACAATGTTGATCTATCTGAGAAGCTGGAATTCACCGTTATGATGAAGAATCCATTGTGTGCTCGCATCCGTCCCAGAGTAAACCAACCAACTTGAATGATCTAGCTACTAATGTTGTATATTTGTTTGTTATTCTTCTCTTTTGAAGTTGTTGATGATGTTTCTTCAATATAAAATAAATGAACATGAAGGGAACTGAAAGTACTTCACTGTTCAACTGTTTATAAGATGGTCATTTGGATGTGCTTTATGCAAGAAAAGATTCATTAACCAGCTTAAGCACATGGAAGACATTCCCTTAACCTGATGATTGAGTGTTCAGGAAAGATCAGTAAAAAAATCTCTCCAATGACAGATTACACCTACATTAAAATAGACTTTCGTAAAGCTTTGAATCCACTTAATGATTCTCCAAATGGATATCACTTAAAGGAAATTTCTCAATAAGAGTTAGACATTTGCTTCAACCTGTGGAAATATTCTACTTGAGTGAGTCAACTCATTGTTTACCTCGAATTGACTGGAAATGTAGTAGGCTAAGCATAACAGAAGTGGGAACAGTGAAGCACGTAACATAAGAATACACAAAAGATTGATACTAGGGGAGTCATTAGAGGTACAGAAATGAAGAATCTGAAAAGTCATATATAGTATTGAATAGAGCAATTCAGTCCTTAGACAACATTAGCAAAATTTGAAATGTTTTGTCTCATCCAACAGCCAAAACTCAAAATTCTGTTGACATTCCTGAATTATCAGATATTTTAGCTTTTCATTCAGACAAAGAACAACATATTTATGTCCATGTAGTTATGTGAAAGAAGCATCAGGCTGGAGAAGCATGCCATTTATGATGGATTCTTGAGATTGGCATTCTGGCATTCATTCGAGTAGCTCCCTGCAAGACAGTGCAATAATCTCTGGTGTTCCTTCAAGTTTCTCCCTGCAAGATGGCAAAACCCTCACCATCACTTTGTTAGGATCATTGGCAGAAAATTTCTGTTGGCTACAGTTGTTGGTTGGACCAGAAAAGCCTTGAGAGGCTGTAATTCTTGAAGCAGAAATGATACGATCACAAAGATTCTTGATCATTTTATATCTCTCCGTCTCATCCGCATGATCCTTCTTCCAAGCTTGAGAAGAGAATTCTGGTGTTCCTCCATTGTTAAGTAAGTTTGAAATTCCTCTATATATGGTGTTCACGTTTTCTTTCTCTGCGATGGACCTCCTCCCTTTATTTTTATCAGAAACCAACAATCTATTCGGATCATTTTGTAGAGCAGTGGACCATTGATGGCTCTTGCTATTGTCACCCATGTTTAGTTCAATTGAATGAAGATCACTATCAGTTGAATCATCTTCTTCTCCATCCTCTTCTTTATCGAGTATTTCTACATCTGCCTTCTCTTTATCTCGGTAATGGTGTGTGCTTGGAAGCGTTCCTCTAAATTGTTTCTCAAGCTCATTGATTGTTTCATAATTCAGCGAATCACAGCCTTGTTCTTGGCCCTTTTTGGATCTCAAATATGCTTCAAGTTCATTCCTTAACTCATCCACAACTGTATTTTTCTCCTTAAATTGATATTTGGCTTCTGATAGCTTCATTTGAACTCTTTCCTCCCGCATGACATCAGCTAGTTGAAGTACTTTCTGTTCCATTTCCACCTCTTCCCGGATTTTAGCAGATCGTCTCTTCAATTCTTCCATCTCAGCTCTATCTTCTCCAAGACCTCTAGCTAATTCATCACACACTTGCTCCAATATCTCTCGGTCCCTTTTCTCGCCTTCAAGTTCTTTGACTGCCTTTGAAAGAGATGCCTTTAAATCCGCCAGTTCTCTACCTAGCTTCTTATTTAATCTCTCAGTTTGCTTCCTCAGTTTCTTCTCAGTCTTGAACTCCCTGGCTACGGATGTAATGGCAGTATGAATCTTGTCTTGCTCTTTTACCTTCCAGGCCATCTTTTCTTCTTCAAACTTCTTCAAGAGGACATCAACTTCACTGTGGTTATGTCTGTGTTCGTGTTTCAATTTAGACACCTCATCACACAACCGGTCAAGCTCTGTATTTATAGCTGAGAAAAGGGATGAACATGTAGATTTCTGATCTTTGAGATTCCAGACATGACTCAGAACTTTCAGCAGCTCTTTACATGTGTCAAGGCCATGACACACATCCTTCAAATGATGCCTACTTAGAGTCTGTTCATGATTTTTTCTATCAAGCTGCAAATTCATCCTTGTATTAACCATATAATTCAATATAGAGTAGCTAACTCAAAGTAGCAGCAGCTAACAAAAGTAATACATTCGGAGATCTTACAAGAAAAACTTCCACAAAAACAAAAATTTCAAACATACATCAATTCAGTTTTAGGATATTAACATATAACCTGTAGCCTGTCGGCTTTGATAGAACCTAAACTAGAACCATCAAACAAGTCACATGTTTGTTCCTTTGTTCATAATTTCTGTCCATTCAACTTTGGAAGAGGCCAAAGGGCCGTCAAAACGCCACTAAGAAGAGAAACCAAAGTGGAAACTTGGATAGGTTCAACAACTGCTTTGCCTCAATTTCAAGCTAGTTAAGTGAATCTTCACTAATCACCCCTAATTTTTAACAAAATGGCCTCAGAACCCTGAGGTCTCAAGTTCAAATTCCAGTGGAGACAAAAAATATTACGCACTTTCTTCTCACATGTCCGAGCTTTAGTGGACAGGTTAAGTTAGCAGATACAAAATTAGTAGAACACAAACTAACCCAACACCAAAGTTATTTTTTTTAACTAAAAAAACCTATAAAGAACAGTTCCTCCAACTAAAAAATGGATAAACTGTCACAGCAGCATACCTCTATCGAGTAATCATTTTGGTTCGAGAGATCAGCCTTGGTAGATTTTCTTCTTCTATGACTACCCACTTTGGATCGCTCCATTCTCTGCAAAATTCAAGAACAAAAATACCTCAATATAAAATTTTAAAAGCACATACAATATGATGAACTTAAAAGCTACAAACTTTTCCAAGAAAAAAACCAAACAAAAACCAATTTTTCCCTTAAACCCACCTCAGAAACAGGGTGATGAAATTGCAGAGCTGCTGAACCCAATTTTGAAACTCTTTCTTTCCAACCCATTTCCTCCAAATCCTTCAGTTTAGTTTCCCATAAAGTAGAAGCCAGTTTTCTTGCCGAAACCGACAAGTCATCAGAGCCCTCTGTTTGCATATACTTATCATTATGCAAAGAAGTTGATCTTGATGAACTCATTTTCCCCTGTTCACAAGTTTTTTTAACTACTTTACAAAAAGAGGGAACAAGAGAAGTGGGAAATAGCCCTTTAGGCTTGTGTATTTCAATGATTGCTAGAATGAATGAAAGGGCTAAATACTTTCGTAACACAAATTATTTGGTATGCACCTACTTGTTTCTTTGTTGACATTATTCAAGTTATATACGTAAGTTTAAAAAATCACGATTATACATGTAGCCTAATGATTAATAAAGTGAAACCACACTCCCCGAGTCACTTAATAGTAGCAATGTAAATAAATTTAAGCATTTACTAGCTAACCATTTGTCTCTATCGAGCATTATTGTTGCTTGAGCAGATAGTAATATTGAATGTAATTGTAGCCGTTGTTGAAGGCTTCAATTGGCAGGGATTTTGTAAGGAAGGGCCCCCATTTAACGGCTTAAAGTATTTTGCATATTTGTAGAAAAAAAAACAATCTTCTGTAATTCGTGTGGCCCTCCACATGCCGTAGTGATCCTCTGTTAGTATCAAAGTTAAAAAGTTATTTCTAAATCAAAAATCATTCAAAAATAAGTTAATTTAAACAGATTTTTTTAGTCCTAACAGACAATGAGATTAAAAAGAAAATAATATTTTTTCGATTTCAATTGAAGGTTATTGTTGTAATTAGGCGGCTACTCTCACAAAAAAAATTAAACATTCCACGTCTTTTAGAGAGAAGAATTTTTGTTGTTCTAAGTTACTGAGATTTATTTTTCTTTAACTTTCTTCAATTCCAAGAATCGATTGTAATTGAAATTACTTGTCCATTGTCATTGTTGAACACAACTTTACTAGTTATGTTATCAAATGGAATTTAATTTCTTTTACTTTGAGAGTATTCATCTATTGTTTATGTTCACTTTGTTGGTATTTCGTAATTAATGATTAATTGATCTTTGTCAAATGTCTATCTTAAATTCAATCTTTATTTTTTATTCTTTCATTTTCCATATTTAAATTTGTATCATTGTTTATGATAACACATTAATCTCATATATCATGCTTTCACTAATAAACATAAAGCTGAAAATCTTGGAATGCATAAATGAAAGAAAAATAAATACTTCAGTAGCTTAATTATAATTTATACATGAAATTTTCAAAAGAAAATAATGTCTCTACTTAGAGAAATAGTCCTCAGTCCGTCCCTTGAATCCAATTTGTCCAAAAGTCAGGCAGAGGAACAACCCCAAGTGCCAGCACACCAACCATAGCCTGTAATATGATGATTCCATTTCAATATGTTTTGACAAATGACACAGGGTAAAGTTGAAATTAAAGAATTAAAAAAGACGTAAAAATGTACCAGAATTGCGAAGTGAGAGCAGGTCCAGTGGGGAAATGAGAGAGTTCAGTGCCAATGCTTTCAAAGAAAAGACCAGTAAGACTCTTTCCATTGATTGCTGGAACACTTGAAGGAGCCAACCATCCAATCAAACCAAATCCAATCACATTCAAGTCTCTTCTTAGCCAGTCCCTCTGGAAACTGAATTTCATAAAAAAATATTATCATCAAAACTCTAGGTGGAAAAAATAATATGGAAATATTCTTATAATCCATTGTATTAATTGGATGGATCTTAATTTAGTAATTTACCATGTAACTCTGCCTCCTGAAGCTTTTGCTACCCTTAAAGGGTTTCTTGCTGTCACTGGTGATCTCATGAAGTCTATCAACAGAAAATATATAATAGATAGCACATTATAGTCTATAAAATGTCGATGTACACGACTCTGATTTAGTCAGGGCGGAATTCAGAGGGAAAAAAAAAGGTGTATACAAAAGTCAAATTCTTTTTGAAGAATCAATTGTTCTAAATCAACCTAACATGATGGTGTAAGTCTATCAAAGAACTTAAAACTCATTTGCAAATGCATTTAGAGAAAATCATGATGGGCATACCTGAGGAAAGGCTAGTCTTCTTTGCAGAAGAAAATCCAGAAAGAGATGAGTTAGCTAAGCCTACAACACTGGACATTGTTGCTGCCATTCTTGTTTTCTTCTTCTCCGAATAGTGTTTGTGTTAGTGTTACGGGGGGTTCACTAGGAATAAAAAAGAGTGTATACAAATAATTGATGATTTCTGTGGACAATATTCATATTTGGGAAATGTGTGGTGACAAGTAGGATTGTCTCTTTCATAAAAATCATAGATATGTTGTTGATCAATCTCTTATTGACATGTGGAATTTTATAGATAGACTGGTTTCTGTTTTGGATAATATGTTGGAACTAGCTAATCTATGTGGAATTCAATTATCAATTTGGGTATCTATTTTGATTCTGTAAACAAAGAAATACATGAATGTAGTACCTCAGCAGGTGGATCCAGATATTAAATTATATATTTTAAAATTCATAACAGTGAACTTATTATATATTTCAAGTTATAGATTCATGTTCCTTATTTATCACAATTTTAGTGAATTTTTATTAGTCACGTATGATACAAATATTTCGACTTCTTGATAAGATGATCATCGATCTTGTACATATTATCTCTCATTTGTTTCTAATAATGTTAATACTAATACTAACTTTATAACAACAAATTGTGTTTCCTTCATGTTTACATCACTTTAAAAAAATTTATTTGATAAAATTTAAAATTTGAACAATTATAGTAGCAATATAATTTATAATTATATAAGCTGTGGGCACCCAAAACCTAAAACTTCCATTATAGATAACAACGAACAAAAGTTTGTACCTCTAGAAAACTAAGCACTCATAACATACACTGGGTGCAGGCTGCTCCTTATTGAACATTCATTGTTTTTATACTTCATAATTAATTAAAAATACTACTCCAATATTTATGTCAATCAATTCTTAAATCTTTAGTACTAAACCGAACTATGGATTAATAACCATATAAGTACAACTGTTCACATGTTTCTTGATTTAACGCTGTAAAGAACAAAATTGGAATGTCCAGATCATAGATAAAAGAAACTATATATCAAAGAGGTTCAACTCCAAAACCTAATGCACTGGAACAAAATATATCTATACAAGGCGGGTCTCACACAGACGCCATAAACACAAAGAACTCCCTATACACTGACCATTTGATCCTCTTGTTTAGCCCTGGTTGAAAGGATGTAATGAAATTCCATCAGATGATTTAGAAGAGTTCCTCCTTGAATTACGAATGATGTGCATTCAGCAGTGCCCGGTATATCATGTCTATGAATTGGTCGTCCTGTTATTCAAATAAAAATCAGATTAGATGCACAAAGAGACCAGCAGATAACTTATCTAATCTAGGCTTGTAATTGGAACAATATGAACAAGAACAAGTTAAATTGGCAAAAAAAAAAAGGAAACAAAAGCATTACCATTGACTCTATCAAGAGTAGACAAGTCAATAACCCGTGTACTTACAGCACCACTATAACTCTTTAACTACTAGAGGAATCCCTCACTAGTTTCACAACAGCTGAATTCAGAACCTTTTCATTGTTCTTTAATCTCAATTTCTCTAGAGGTCCATCGCAGGTATTGTTATGTGTGGTTGTATTTTACAGCCGAGGTTTTATCAATCTCCTGCAAAATTATGTGGTTTTGATAGAGTGCCAAGAAGATAATTTGGCGTTCTTCATACAGGCAAAAAGAAAATTTATTTCCACTTTCGAATTGTAGAGCAGTTAGAAAGCTTTTGCTCATTCCATTATATTGCTCTTATATTTTGTTATGCCAGAAAGCACATAGATGATCCTTTTTTTTTTGGATAAAGTGTTGTCATCCATTGCAAAGTTTCACATCAGTACCTACAAAGTGCCGACGTGAGGTATGTATAGCCTCGGTTTTGGGGTGTGGTTCTCTCGAAGGTTATAACAATGGAATTAGAGCCACCCACCGGCCATCGTGCCTTGGATGGTGACACAAGGAAGATGGATGCGGAGCGTGGTGGTTTGTTATGGTCCATTGCAGAGTTCCACATCGGTACTACAAAGTGCAGATGTGGGGTATTTATAGCCTCGGTTTTCCCACTTTAATAGCTAAATTTTGGGGAGCAGCTGTCCCTGTGTTATAACATAAAGACAAGAAAATAGATGATCCTTTTCTCTTTTCTTTTCTAAACCCCGAGGGCACAAAAGATGACCTTTCTTAATCAGCCTTTATGAAATATACTTGGCATCCAATTATATTGATTCCATTTTTGACACTATTATGTGTTAAATATATGACCCATCCTTCCTCCTTCCCGCTTGGTATAGTTAAGGACCAAAGACCATATCATGCTGAAGCGTAGCGCCATGCCACGCCAGTAATATTTTATTTTACCAGCCTCCAAGTGAATCAGTTTTGCCCTAGTACATAAAACGTAGTTGACCAACAATTTCATGCAGGAAAAAGTTTTCAGTCATACAGGTTAAGTTCATGTCAATTATAACATTCCTTAATAGCACTTGAATTGAGAGTTGACCCATTTTAGGCAAAAATTAACCTATTATTAGTGAAATACACACATGCTTTAACACTACCAATAAATAAGACCACAAAATAGGGGAGTATGATGAGGAATTCACAAAAAAATATTCATATAATAAGGAAAATACTGAAAGGGGAAACAGGAGTTTTTCGCGCTTTTTCGCCTTTGATAACACTGCCTAGGAAGCTGAAATTTCTAGCCAACACGATCCCCCAATCTTTACTTTTCATTCTTCTTGTTGAAGCTCTGAGGATAAACTTTTAACACTTATTTTCTAACTTACTTCTACTCATCATTAATCCCATATTCTTTCTTTATTTTTGATGACAAGGGAAACCCGCAGCCACTACTCTTTGGGTGCGCACAGGGTAAACCCCCGCTCCAATGCAATAGCTCGCAAACCACGTAAGAAAGGGTAACCGAGACTAGGCAAGCCTGGTGCGACGAGCTAGACCCAGAAAGTAAACCCTTTGCTTTCGCCGGCAAGGGGTTTTGAACTTGAGACCTCCATCATGAAAGTCCCAAGCTCAAACCACTGGGCCACCCCGAAGGGTTCATTCCTTATTCTCAACAGTGCTTCTCTACAGTATCAGGTTTTAGTACCCTCTAGCTTTGCCAATTAACATATTATCATCAATGAATGACACATACCATCAAAACCCATCTTGCACACTAGTGGTTACCCAATCCATACTTGAAAAACAGGGTCAAAGAAGATCCCTAGAGTAAAGCTCACGGTTATGGTAAATTCCATGATTCTCACACGTGTGACGGTCATGGTATACATATCCCTTTTTTCTATGAATAAACAATTACTTATTACTTCTAAGAAATAAGAAAGCAAAACAGTCAA